ATGCTAGAAGACCGATGTTTGCTTCCCGTTGCTAAAGAATTTAGATACCTCAGCTATAATATATCTGAGAAGGAAACGAAACGGAATACTCTTAAATTATATCGATAAATATTTATCCCATCAAACAGCAAAGAAAATTTATACACGGCAAAGAAATTGCATTAGTTTTGTGCTTGTGTTCCCATTATAGAGCCTTCATTAAAGATTTTGCTCACATAGCAGAGCGTATATTAAATTTATAAAAGAAAAAGGCAGAATTCATTTGGTCAGCAAAGGCAAACACGGCATTGAATAGCGGCATTGATCCAAGCTCCCGCGAGAGGGGACGCCTTTGGGAGGGCACACAAGACAGCGCGTCTAGAGTTTGCTCGTCCTGGGTTCTGTTAAAGGACAGCAACGCTCATCCGTATAAAGCACAGCTGCTCTAAAATTACCTGGAAAATGAGGATATTCGCCACATGGATAGACCAGCCAGATCTCCTGACCTAAACCCTATAGAGCATATCTGGGACGCCTTTGGGAGGGCACTTTCATCTCGTCATCCCCCTCCAAGAACTATCCCGGAATTGAAAACGGCCTTGCTGCATGCAGGAGTGGGATCAACTGCCCCTAGGACTCCTCGACAGCCTTCTATCGAGTATCTTGTCACACTGCATAACCTGTCGAACTGCGAGAGGGGAGCATACTACATATCAGACTCATTTTCAGTTTGAAATCAGAACGTGGATTTTAGACAACGGGGAGCGTGTCTTTCTCTGTTATAAGTGCAAATTTCATTAAAATTTGTCCATTAGTTCTTCAGAAATTCGACGTATGGAAATTCTATTAATTTTGCAAACTGTTGTAATTTGTTTAGCAGAATAACCTTTCAGAAAAACTTTTAGACGGTACAGATTTATTGACGTGGCAGGAACAAAGGGAAAATAGCAATCCATCCTCTGATTTTTAAAGCAAACCTTATCAATCGTATCGCTATTGATTACAAGAAACTAAATAGCATAAGAAAATACCCGGCTTACTTTTTACAATAATTTAGAAAATAGTTACGAAAATTAAATCTACAAAATGCATGTCTAAGCTAAAGTTCACGTTGGGATATTTTCAGATATGTGGGAAACCGGAGGACCTGTCAAAAACTGCATTTGTCACCAAATCAGTATTTTACACCTTCTTTAAATGCCGTTTGGCTTATGCGGAGCCCCCGTCACTTTTTAAGGAGTCTTGGGTGTAATCCTAAGACCTGCCCTTGGAAAATCCATTGTTGTTCACTTAAATGACATAATAGTTACAAGCGATATATTTGATGAGCACGTTCGGGATTTGCACGAAGTTAGTTCTCCTCTGAAAGAAAGGTTTAAAAGTTAATGGATCAAAATAAAAATTCTCAGCTAAAGAATTTAGATACCTCATCTATAATATATCTGAGAAGGAAACGAAACGGAATACTCTTAAATTATATCGATAAATATTTATCCCATCAAACAGCAAAGAAAATTTATACACGGCAAAGAAATTGCATTAGTTTTGTGCTTGTGTTCCCATTATAGAGCCTTCATTAAAGATTTTTCTCACATAGCAGAGCATATATTAAATTTATAAAAGAAAAAGGCAGAATTCATTTGGTCAGCAAAGGCAAACACGGCGTCTGAATAGCGGCATTGATCCAAACTCTCGTTTTTGAAATTTCTTGACGCACATGGTAAATTAGAAATAGCCGCAATTGCATCTGATTTCGCTATAAGAGCATTGCTTATGCAAGACGGACAACCGGTAGCATATTTTTGCAAAACGTTTAATTTAATTCAAAGAAATGATACCGTTACCGAGAAAGAAACATTAGCAATTCTGTTAACCATGCAAAAATTTCAAATTTATTTAGGCAAAAAAAATGGTTAACGTACGTATGGATCATACAACCATTGTACGCGTGTATTCGTGGCAGAATTTGTCACTCAGATTCATAGAATGAGCTCTTAAATCACAAAGCTGAAATGTGATAAATTATAACCTCTGGAAAGAAAATGCTGTACTCTGGAAAGAAAATGCATTTTACGAATTGAATTAGGTGATGAAATAAAGAAGTAAATTGTGCCATGTTAACTTCTAAAATTTTAGATTCACTGGAAACATTTATTTCAGAACTACAGGTAGACACAGAATTTAAACATGTCTAAGCTTATTTGAAAGATCTCAATCATTCTTGAACATCATGACATAAAGGCATTACGAACTGGGCAGCAAATTACGAAATCATTGATAATCTTCTGTTCTACACTAAAGTAAGAAATAATAATAATGAATTAAGATTGATTATCCAAGCTACTTTAAGTGTTTTAGATAAATCACGTGATTCCCCTTTTCCAACCAGCTCAGAATCTCAATCATTCCTGAACATCATGACATAAAGGCATTACGAACTGGGCAGCAAATTACGAAATCATTGATAATCTTCTGTTCTACACTAAAGTAAGAAAGCTACTTTAAGTGTTTTAGATAAATCACGTGATTCCCCTTTTCCAACCAGCTCAGAATAGCAAACGCAGTGCAGAGAGTAAAAAAAATCTTTTTTTTTTCCCACAGCTAAAAAGATTTATAACGGGAAATGCCAAGTTCAATAACATACGCCAAATAATTAACAATATTAATTGCAGTTCGACCAGGTACCTAAATAGTATAAAACTAAATTCTATAACAAAATAGTATGAATTGGGTAGAAATTATTCCCCTAAAAAGAAATTTATGCAGTCCAAGAAAGTCCAAGAAAAGTTATGCAGATTCACTTTTAAATAAGTTTATATTAAAGAACGAAGCTCCAATTAAAGTAATATCAGATTACATCAAGCAATTCTAAAGTCAAATTATTGACCGAAATCGAGTATTGCAAAGTGAGTGAACAGGTATATAGTTAAAATTATCCGCATAGCTGCGTCAATGAACTGGCTTTTGCTTTGAGATTTGCCAATTGATTATGTTTCTCTATAACTTTTTATGTCAGCACAATTTACTTTGGCAGACATTCAGAAATTATTGCATGAGGCATATCGAAATTTGAGTATAGCCCTGTGTAAAAACAAGAATTTTATTGTGATAAGAAAAGACAGAAGTAGATTTTAAGGTGGGAGATAAAATTAAACATTCACTTTTGTGTGGACCAGACGGAAAAGTGGGAAAATTTTCTAATAAGTTCCAAGGCCTCTCGTAATTAAAATAATGAAGAAACAGTGGTATTTTTGGCAGGAAAATATGGTTTGTACAAAAGCAAATGTGAACCAGATTAAGTGTTTTTATGATCACGCTGATATGCAGTTGTAAAGCTAGCATAGTTAATTAAAAGTTAGGCTTAGAGGTAATTGAAAATTAAGCTTAGGACATTCGATATAATTTCTTAACGTGTCTTTGGGTTCTAGTGCGTCTAACCGTTTTACCTAGTTAACCCTATAAGAATTTGTTTAATGGGCAATTGTTGAAGCATCGCATACTTACATATGCGTTCACCCATTACAATGCTGCTGGACAGATGAGGTGACAAAAGTTAATTTAGAGAAAGCGCAGGTGTTAAACCTTTTTTGAAATTGTGAATGGCACCTTCTTAGATATTAGAATTTAAAATCTTTGCTAAGGTCGTTCAAAACCTTCATTGCGATTACTTTAATTCTGGTGAGGAAAACTGTTAAGATTCTTAATGTTTGTAGAGACATTAGGTTATTTGGAAGCAAGAGAGATGAAAAATTAGCAATCGCTTTCGCCAGGAATCGAATCACGGACCTCTGGAATAGCTGCCCAGTGTGTAGAACCACTACACCATGAAGGCACCCTAAGAAAGGGGGAGAAGTACCTTACATGTTAATCAATCTGTTAGCATGATTTTGATTTTTGCTTTAACTCCTACTTTTCATATTCTTCACTAGAATAGGAATTAGCTTTTAGTATATTTAACATGAGGGTGTTGGATCTTAGACAGAGAAAGAGCTTCTGTCACTTGCGCCGTTCTGTTAGATTTGGCCAGCTCTATGTAATTGTAATTTTCTCGGAAGCATTTTCTAGCAGTCGATGGATTTAAATTAAGTTTCGGTAAATTAGTTGAGCCAGCTTATAGCTTATTTATTTGACTGTGTATTCTCAGACTACTTTTTACCAAAGTTTAAATTTAAGCATCTGTTATTGGTTAAATTACGTCGCAACAAGTAGTGGTTTATGTATAGCACAAGTCGTGCCTTTTCTGTTTAAAGTTCAATTTAATAATAAATTTGTTTAAACCTTCGCAAGACTGTCATACTCTATCAGATATAGCAATAACTTGTTAGTTGTCTAGAAGGGTAATAGGACTTAATTCAAGTATCAGCTCAATTATAGCCTTGTAAATTTCTTTGCTTGGTATGTAATTTTTAGTCAAATGGAAATAGGGTAATGAGTTCATTTATTGTGCCTATGTAATTAAAAATTAATATTTTATTTTAAGAGAAATAAGAATGAGTTCTGTACTTTTCGTTGTTTAATTTGTTCAAAGAAAATGCGTTTCGTGTCACTCTTTAAAGAAATAAAAGTATTTTATTTTTACTTACATAAGTTTTAATGAAATGTTAAAATGTCACAAAAAATAAAATTAAATTTCCTTATTTCAGTTGCAGTAATTAAATGCAGGGAAAAAAACCCTATCTTAAAAAAAAGTCAACCAAATTGTCATGAAATTTTTAACAAAATAACTATAATATTAATGTACTATTCTTAATATTGTTAATTTACTGGAAGATTTTCAGAAATATTAACAATTATTTTTTCTCTTGAAAGAGAGATAAATATTCGAAGTATGTGGTAGCTATAACATCTAGATAACTTCTTCAACTAGAAAAAACCAGAAGCTAATCTGGACTACCTTTTCGTGCTTATGCGGTCAAAAGGCATTCCTAGAAGATATAGCTGTTAAGAGTATCATGTACTTTATTCTAGAAACAGATATCCTAACGTTTCAATAGAGAATATTTGAGAGGAAGAAATATATCTCATAATGTATAATACGCTTTAATAACCTTCAGCACGGAAAAGACTTTCACAAATCTTTCGGACTATGTAGTCTACATAATACAGAATGGATATCAATATGATTTTAAAATTATTATTTGTTTAAACAAAAACCATAAGCTGCCGAGCAGATTTGATTCCATCTGCAGCACCACTGACCATTTCCGCAGCATATCCATCCATTTCCACAACACTTTGAAGGATTTCTGCAACACTGCGCTGCTTGTAGCTGACAGCAGAAATTGTCACAACATGTTCCCCGGGGGCAGTTGCACCAGCGATTAGGAAAAGTAGCATTCTCGGCAATTATAGAAGGTGCTCCCATTACATGTTGTTGCTCGACGTCAAAAGATCCCATCGTTAAGTCGCTGTTGCAACAGCCAAACTTGGCATCACTCTCCGGGCAACACACTTTTCCTAAAAAATGTGGTAAGTAAATAATTAATTGCACGTTAAGGTAAAAGTAAATTAAACGCATATGTATACTCAGTTACAAACCTTTTCTCGTAGTAAATTTAGATACTATGCTGCGTTCATACAATATTTTTTATGCTAGTAAAGTATGTCTGTTCATTAAAAGAAATTTCATCCCACCCATCGAGTATAAATCTTCTATAGATTAAATCTACTGCTATGACTCAGATATTTAAGTTTAGAATACGTAACTTACAGATCAAAGTTGGTGTGCTTTTGAAGATGCATTTTCTTCTCATTCTCTTGAATTTAACTTAGCTATCTCTTTCCATGCCCTTTCATGGCTCTTTATGATGTACTGATGCTGCGGTGCTGATAATTTTTTCGATATAAGTTGGAAGGGCTGAGTTGTTGTTGATGCGAATCTGAGATAAAATACTGAGCACACGCCAGACCTTAATTCTTGGTTTTTGGATTTGTAACTGCATAGATAGCCAATGCCATGCTTAAGTCACCTCTCTCCAGCAGTGAGCCTGTCACGAAAGCAGTTTTTACCTTGCTTTAATATTCCATTATGTTATGTAATAATTTATAGTGGGTGTACAGTAAGAAAATGCATTAGCAATAAAATCTGTAGTAGTTGACAACTTGCATTTTCTAGAATACAAAGGGCAATTGTAATTATTTATGGTTAATTAGTTAGCATCTGGGCGACCCGTAAAACCGAGCTGCACCCTTAATCATTTGTGATTTTTCTGAATGAGAGCACAACATCCATATAAATGTAGGATAATAGTATGATGAGAATGGAGGATAATAATAATGTATTTCCATTTGTCAAAGTAATAAAAAATAAATAAATGTAACTGGCTTAATTATTGAGATAAATATTTTTAATATCTTTTCATATAATAAGCATCTGAACTTTTCGTAAAAACTTCCTGACGAAGTTTTTGAAAAACAATGACTTTGATAGAGCATAATACAAATGTAAAATTTTGCTAAGTTTCTTACCATATTCCACCCAAATAAAATTTTAAAGCAGAAAGTAATACTTTCTTCAGTGCATCTGGAAGAAAACTAACTGTGATTTTTAAAATAGTATACAGCTAAAACAATTTCTTTATATAAATTGAAAGTAAATAATGTATAAATTTTATTCAGGTTAAAAATTTAATTATTTTATTAATAATGTAAGAATGATATCCTGTTTCATTACATTACTTACAAAGTATTAAAAAACATTTTAGATGTTCGTAAAATTTCACGTAACATATAGTGATAGTTTTCCAGAATAAAAAGGTAAAAATAAAAAAGGTGAAAATCGATCCCAGCAGTATTTTAAACAAATAATATTATAATGCATTTGCATATTTGGTATGATGATTTTTGTTTACAAATTTAAAACAATGAGTGAATTTGAAGTTTTCTTCAGTACTTATTCAACCTCTGAATGCAATATAACATCCACTGTGCGGTCTTTTATCAGGTAAGTTTTCACGAAATACCAAAAATACTCATTTCGATGTCTCAAATTTTCTGATTTATTTTTTAATTTTAATTCAGATCATATAAGTAAATAATATAGATTATAAATTACCGAAGCGGTTTTGTTTTTAATGTAACTTTCATTTTAAATTATAGGCTTATCTGCCAACACAAATTTTTCATGAAAATTAACAGTTCTAAATACCTGATCATTTCCTGAAATGGAAAGAATAGTTTTAAGCAGTATAAATACTAACCTTCGGGACAAAGTGTGCCATCTGGGCATACATCTTTACCCGAGATAACAAGTGGTAGAAGAGCAACGAATAAGAACCACATCTGTCAATATAAAATACGTAAAAATATCAATAATTTTATATGCATGATTATTGTGTAAAAATTTAAAATTGAAATTGAAATATAGTATATTTTTATTATAAATTATTTCATGATTGAAAGAGCACAGAAAAATAAATTTAGAACTTATTATTAGCAAATTTATTTTGAAAAAATGCTTTAATAACCCAGAATCATTATGTTTCAAAGTTAGAACTAGAAATTTTAATTAATATTCAAAACGTATTCTTCGACTTTTTAATTAAAATTTGTAATTTATATCTTCATTCATTTGTAACGCAAAACGTTTGTTGTGATTTTTTTCTCTTAATTTTCATCACAAGTTTCTGTCTTCTAAAATTGTATGATATTAAAACAATAAAAATTATCCTGAATAAAAGCATTTTTTGTTCTAAATTTGGCCGTCGTTAGGATTCAAAAATTAAAACTTTTGTAAATTTAGTACTGCTGACAATTATCGGGCTATCACCCTATGTGGATATTGAACTTGTGCGAATAACTTTAAATAACGTTTGGCCCAACAGCGGCCTATCGGTAATATCGCGGAGCACTTGCAGATCGACCTAGGTTAAAATTCTAGCGAAAGGCTGTCTGTTTGGGAGTTTTTGTGCTCTTCCAACATGCGTAACGTAAGTACAAGCTAGATTTCCTTACAACAAATCTATACGAAAGCATCCTATCCCCTTAGAAAAACAGTTCTTGTGTTCTTTACCGTAATCCAAATAACCATAAACTCCAACAAAAGCTGACATTAATAGCATAGTTTGAAATAAAATGCTATGAAAGATTTCCAAAGGAATTTTCCCCTGAAAACTTAAGAATGAATCTGTGATAGGAATTGTAAGAAAAGAGAACTTTATTATCATAAAACTTACGCGTTTATTTCAGTCTGCTTAAAACTGGGAACATTATAAGTTGGTTTGTTTTGGTTTATTTAAATATGGCAAAGCACATGAGGACTATCTGCCTAAGAGAAGGGATGCCTTCGTGAAAGATTTTCTGGAGAAAACTGGCTCTTATCCATGCTTCTGATTTTCGTAATCATTCAGAAATCCCCGAAAAGTTCCATGCAGCCAGCCCGTTCGCCGGGATACGAACCCCGGTTAAACTACCAGTGTTACCATTGGCTGCTGGTGGGTCTTGGGAACATAATAGGAGCGAATTTAAGGTTTGGGGGGGGCTTCAAATTAAAATTAATCAAAAAAAAAATTTCTAGAACAGGAAATGTTCCTAATGACGTAAACTATTTTTGTGCAAGAAAGTAAAATAAGATAATTCAAGAGATTTTGAAGTATGTTTAATCGCTTCTGTATATGCATACGTTCCAACTATTCAAGATCCTATGCAGATACCTGACCGCCAGCAGTTAATATTTCCAGTTTATTTTCCAAGCATGTTCAAGTCTTTTTTACAATCTAGCTTAGTCTAAACAAAACCACAACCTATTCAACTCTTCTCTGTTTATAAACTCGCATTACCTCTCATAATTTCAATGGAATTTCCAGTTTCAGGTAGATATAGTAAACGCGCATTACCTTTCATAATTTCAATGGAATTTCCAGCTTCAGCTAGATATAGTAAGTGAAAAGTCTCTTAATTTATTCTATATGCCTTATTGCCCTCAATGAGTCATTAAAACAAATGCTATTATAACTATTAATATAATAATATATACATGTAATAACAATTATTTCTTGCCATAACCACTAATATTGCTCCTAAACAAAATACTTTTGCAACAGTTGTACACAAACAAAGAGTTTTGTAGATTCCTTTCTGACACCAAATGAGAAATTGTTGATTCTCAGCTGAGCAAAATAAATAACAAGAATAGAAACGCAAAGCTGAATGATGTGAGCTTATCATTCTACTCTGTGAGCGGAATAGATCGCATCTCAAAACTCGAACCCTTATATTCTGTAATCTGTTGTCATCAAGATGTACCTTAAACCTACTCTTTTCCAGTTTTACTTTGTTTATTTTAATTACCAAGTAAATCAATATTCTCCTTCTTCAGACAATTTTGACGAATAGTAACGACAAGTAATGTTTTATTTTTGAAATATATTTTGACTTGTGAATTTTTTTAATATTTTGTGTAATTTTCCTGTATGACATTTTAATATGCTAGATTCTTGCCTCTTTAAAGATCTAATGAATTTGCTCATCTTCCAAACAATTTATTATCCGCCAAACTACAGGAATTGTTAAAGTTAGTAAAGTATACGGTTTATTATTTACTTATTCCAACATGCACGCTCATGCGCGTACCCAAGTTCTTTTAAAAAAACATCTTTCTTAGTGTATTGCGGATGAATTACCAGGAATTAAATTCAATGGTTTGGTTTGGTTTTCGAGTACGGTAAAGCACTCGAGGGTTATCTGCTTGAGGAGAGGGATGCCATCCTGAAGGACTTTCTAAAGGAAACTGACTCATATACAAGTTACGCATGGGAAAACCACGAAAACGCCCATGCAGACAGCCCGTTCGCGGGTTTCGAATATCAGGTCAAACTACCAATGTTCAGCGACTTTACCGCACAGCCGCTCTTGGGCCTAATTAAATTGAAAGATTTGTGTAGCTTCGTCTTCTAAGACAAACGCATCTTAAAGAGAGACACACACGCTGTGTAATTTCACATTAATAAGTATCATTCATTACATTTAAATATAGAGTTATGTATAGGTTCTCTCAGCGATTTTCTTCTGACGATGTTTTGTTAACTTCTGATGATCTTTGTTGATTATTTGTTTGTTTGCTGATGTTCTGGTTTTTTAACCAATGTACAAGCTGTTGTGTATGTAGTATATTATTTAGATCTCAAAAATAGATTGAAACTACGTTTCTGGAAGAACTTACCTTTATTACCGAGAAATGAGCTTAGACGATGTTTCGGAAGCAGCTTCTATTCTCTTTCCCCAATGTTTCTTCGAATATAATACCAGTGTTATCAGCTCCTTTCTGCTATCTACAATAGATATGATACTGATTCAAGGCATTTCTAAGATTTGCAGCGAAATATGTATTACCGATAGCCACGTGTTCGTCATGCATTTTTATTGATTTTCGTGAAAATGAATAAAGCCATATGTTGTTTATTACAAAACTTATTTCTAGAATTTTTCATACTATCACGTTCCCTCTTTTTATCAGTTAAAAAAACTCATCATTCATAAATATTCTTTAAAGATTATACGGTTTTATACATATTTTTGTAAAAATATTTGATAAAGAATACACTAAATATTTCAATGAAATGCAGCACCCACAGTGGATCCCTAATATGGGGGAAAACATTGGCAGCATTTTTGGGTCTGCGCACCTATTATAGAAGTTAAGTGTCTTGCTCACATAGTAGAGCACTTATTAAATTTTAAAAGGCTCGATTCACTTCGTCGACAAAAGCAAAAACGGAAAACTTAAAGCTTGAACTTTTTGAAAACGTTAAAGCGACAATAATTCAAACTGTCTCTTTGAAATTTTCTGAAGTGAATGTTAAATTAGAAACCAAGTCTGACACACCAAATTTCACGATTGGAGCCGAGCTTATGCAAAATGGACAGCCGGTACCATATTTTAGCAAATTTCAAAGTTAGCTCAGTTCAATGAAATTGTACCGCTACCAAGAGAAACATATTAGCTGTCCTGTAAAATTTCGAGTTGATTTTGACAAAGAAACGGTTACCATTTACTCAGACCACGCAGCCACTGTACACCTCTATTCGGGGAAGAACTACAACTTGAGGGCTAATTGGATTCACTCATTGGTTCATAGCGTGAGACACGGCAGTTAAATTTAGGTATGTTCAAAACAAAAATTAAACCATCATCACTGCCCGTCACATTCTTGGCGACGACAACGACTTACACGTTAGTGAAAATTTGGGTTTAACCAACAGGTTACATGTTGGCAGAGCAAGAAATTAGATATGTTTTCAAATTGCCTTTAATTCGAGAAACATAGGTGTGATTAAGGATGTTTGTCACTGATGACCAGTATGTTAATAGTAATGGAGAGTCAACCCATAGATCATCAATGTTAGGTACTTAAAATTTAGATACATTTAAGGAATAAAATTAAACGCACATACACTGGTATCCCTCGAAACGATTAGTCAGCTTTGACTATCTCTTTGGTTGCCGGTGACCTAAGATTACTGGCAATCAGCAAGCAAATTTATTAGTATAAGGTAATACTGTAAATTTAGATATTTTTAAAATTAAATTGAAGAGAAAGACACTGTTGAATGTATCGAAGGAACCTTTAAGTCTGGTATTAATGTTGACCGCTTTTAGATCAAGGTTTTAGACATTTATGAGGTCTGATTTTTTTAGTCACCGATGCAGAGCAGTGGAAGGTTATTTCAGTGCCGAAGCAGTGCCAAGCATTGTGCACGTTTAATCCATGAACTCCAAGCAGCATCTGAAACATTTGGAATTTTCCAGATGTCAGGGAGCCGTAAAAACAAACACTTGTAAAGAACGGCGGCAGAAAAAGACGGCACAACACGAAAAAGATGCTCTCGAATCAAGGTATATACTGTTACGTTATTTTCTTCCTTCACGTTCGTACGGGGTTCGTAGATTTAAAGTTAATAACGACGACATTTGATGAAGTATGGAAACACAATTTATTTACCAATATTCTCAGGACAGCTCCAAAATCACTTTTGCAGTCGTCGAACTGTTATAAACACGCTGACACGTTCAGCGACACAGCCTTTACACTGTCAGGCAATAACGGTGGAGACAGCTTCACTGCAAAGCACCAGAGTACAGCTTCCGACTCTGGTCGTTCTCGGAACTCCACATACTCTCGAGACTCTCCACGCGATGCACTCGACGATACACAAGAGTATAGCTCTCGACTCAGTCTAAGACAAAACTCGACGATACACTAATTCGCGACGCACTAAAAGACTCTCCCGATGCACTCGACGACCAACTCGGCGCTAGACTTCGAGACACTTGCTCAATGACTGACTATCAGCTCGCTAGACGAGGCACACACACTCGATGAGAGACACACACTGACTGCTGACCAACAGGTTTATATAGCTTTCGGCTTGTGTTCGAGAACATTCTGGGCTAAACTGGTAAAAATTCGTTCCAGAAGGTTCTCCATCCGTCCATGGTATATCGCCAACTTTGTTGCCAAATGTCGCCGAATGGGCGATTTCTCGACAAATGTGGCAACCATGCCTTCCCTTGCCATTTTATGGCAACCCTAAAACTTCTTTGCGGGGAAGCAGTCTCACCGCGCCTGTACATTTCGTGACAATACGATGATCCTTGCAGTGCCTTGCATGTATTAAGCTATTATCGGACAATAACAATATTTGTAGAAGCATCGATTCAGCTGCAATGTTTTATGGAGTTCTTAGTAAATTACGTTACCAACTTCAATCGGAAATTCAAGTCAGGTACAAAGTAGAAATTCTTTTTCACTCGCACTGGCAAAAAATAAGTAAGTACATACAGTTCCAGCTTAATTAAAGTTATCTGGAGGCTAGATCTTAACTTGAACTGTAAAGCGACTATTCGTTAAGTTCGACTGGTATCAGGAACAACGCAAAAGAAGGGTAAAAAGACCCTTTTTGTTTATTTCAACCCAAGAATAGCACTCCTGGTGCGTAAAGGGCCTGGCTACTTTTGGCGGCAACTCAAAATAGAAAAACGTAAAATTAAAACTAATCCTAAGTTGGATAAATCAACCGAAGCTATACAGAGATACTGAACGCATAGTTGGCTCTTGGCTACCACCGACGTAGACTAACCGGCGTGTAAATACGCACGGCCGTAAAATAACAAGCTTAGTTGGCAGAGAAACAATGTGGCCGAAAGGCAGAACACGCTGTCAACATGCTATTAACACACTCTTAGCACGCTGTTAACACATTCTTAACAAGCTGTTTACACGCTCTTAACAATATCTTCTGTCTGAAATAACTCCGACACCAGTTTAAATAGTAGTTTTCTCCCCTATTTTGCATAATCTGCGAAACTAAAATCTCATTCTGGCAAGAAAGCGTAGGTTGAGAACGAGAGTTGTTGGGAAAGGTTGTTTTCAAATTAAAATTAACTCTTAATAAAATTAAATACAGCCTCACAAGTAAATAAATAAATAAAAATAAAATCTGAAAGGGTTCAGATTTTAACGATCGCCCATAAGGATTTGCTAATTTTTTTTACGCTTTCGCTGAGTTAGCAGTTTACCAGTCTGCTGTCAGATAACAGATCTTTTGTCAGATATAGCAGATTAGCTTAATTTAGAGCATTTCTGCTATATTTTGAATATAATTTCATATTTGCATCATTTCACGAGTTTCAGCAATATGAATAAATATATTTGCTTTAATGAAAAATTCACCAACCCATCCTTCCCCAAAAAAGAAGAAATAAAAAAGGATAAGAGAAACATAAAACTTTCATACAAGTGCGCAACAAAAGGTAATTCCCAACTACATCTGCTACGATAACTCACTGATGTTTTTTGGATAACAGAGCGATTATTTGTTATCACAGTTTCGCATTGCTAGAAAATCTCTTTTTGCGGTTTTTTTTTAATTCATTTCAAATCATAGCAAATCTTGAAACATTATTTCTAATGATTAAACATTTTTTATGTGCTACACGCTGTAACCCCTCTTTTATATCATTTAAAAGTATACAAAAGGGAAACTGTACGTGTCAGAATGTCATTTTATATTATACAAAATGATTCTTAAGAATGCGATAAATAAAACTGTAACGAAACAGGGGGGGAATAAGCATTAATGTCTGAAAAAATGCTGTTTCAAATTTTAAGTTAGCTTTTAAATATAATTTCGTTTCTTACAGTCAAGTACATTGTTTCATTTTGAAATCTGTGTTGAGGATACGGTTTTCAGTCCTTCATTTTATTTTACTTTTACATTTTACATACATTTAAAGATGGATTATGTGTAATAAGAATTTCGGAGTTTACCTGTTATCCCTTCCACGACGACATTATCGCTCAAGCAGCGTGATTTAGCCCAAAATTGTGCATTAGCATGAATTATCACCAAACTTGCAATATCTGAGCTAGCGTTAGATGTAACTCCGCTTGGTTAAGCTACGTTTTATTTTTATGAACAAGGATATAAATTAACAGTTGTTGTACTTTTTCTTGCGTTTTGAAAAATGTGATTAGAATTTGAAATCTGTCTTCTATAGGACAGCAAGCAGCGTTAATTGTAAATTATATTATTAACTACAAAAAAACCATTGATGCAAACCAGGTTCAAATCAAGGCAGCATCCACCCCTTACGCAGATAATCGACATAATAAAAAATGCAATTCGATCTGGCTCCAAGGGCTTTTTGTGATTTTCTCGGGGTATAATAGTAAGCAAGAAACAGCTCTCTTAAAGTATCTTTCACGAAAGTAATGCCTCCCCTTATTTTTAACTCTTACATAACATTAAATTCATTGATGGAAAAAGAAGTGAAAAAAATGAAGCTAAACAAAGAAGTTTCTGCAAGATAAAAATCAGCAAAATATTTAACATCCCTAGCTTTCATTAGAAAAAAATGTGGCTTTCATTTTATACAAGTTTTCATTTTATCCACTTTAACATCGGTCTACTTTACCTCCAATATTCGAGATTTAATGCATACATTACCTGAGCTAATAAAAATATTCAATGATAATCAATAACCAACGCATTCCGATTTGGCACCCCACGCTAATGCAGCCATTTCTCCCATTAAACACCACATCTTATTAATTACAAAATTAATTTTCTGAAATTTTTAATTTTAATTGCCTAAATTTTAATTTTTTTTTATCTCTCATAAGTAGAAAAAATACTAGTTTGTTTAATACTGTTTTTTTTTTCCAATACATTTACTTTTCCTTATTGCTTTTCTTTTTCACTTCATTTACTTTTGCTTTTTTACTTCGTGTACGAAGTAA